TGAGTGTTGAACTAGAGTGTAGGGAAGTCCAGGTTCAACCCTGGCTGAGGTAATATTTTTCGCAATAAACTTCCGTAGAATTGGCCAGTTGGCGTCGTTTAACAATTCTTCTACATTGGTTAATCACGTACTGGCGTCAAATAATTCTTTATATTGTTATTTATGTCTATTGATGTCCATAATTTTAATCTTCAGACATAAACGACGCTATAAACGTTCGTTCGAAAACTCGACCCCAAACTGATGAATTACTCTATGCGTGTATCGGTGTGACAGACCGGTGCACATATACTACTTTATTTACCTAACAAGACATGGCGGGACTCTTGTCTCACTTTTCAGCTGGGAGGTAGCAGTCTAGTAGTGTATAGAAGTCTGTGTTTCGTACACGGCGGATCTCACGGGTCGATCCGCTTTCGATTACACGCGATCGCGGCGCGGCGCGGCGCGGGTTGACGACGACGATGTCTCTCGCCGAGCGTGAGAAGGGGCTGGAATAAACTTGCGATTTACGCGGGACGCTCGAGTTCAATTTGCATAAGTAGCGAACACGCCGGGCGATTGAGTTACGCGATGAGTAGCGCGAGCCCCGTTTCGGCTGTGCGAAACGCAACCTGAAAATTATTCGCGGTAGGGGGATGAGAGTATCGCATTGTACGGCTCGCGAAGCTACCCGGGATTAATGACCGCGGGGCTTGAGGATCGGCAGTCCTTTTTATGATAATCGCGGATGAAACCGATATAACTGGTACTACGCGGTCGTAATAATGTAATCGTTTTACGGCTGGATCGTTTTTCGGAAAAATTATCGAGGCCCAACATCACGGCGGGCTTCTTGTCGCCACGGAAAATGTTCCCGCGCTGTAATATCTAAATTTCTCCTTATTTTATTAATCATATCGTTATGGCGTCATATCATTTCGAGACTCGACATCTGAAAGCAAAATAACACAGGGACTTATTGCTAAGGAATTGTGATAATTTAATTGTTATTAACACAAAGATCTGTTCCTCAATGCAACCCACAAAGTTACATGCGAGGGGGAAACCGCTGAGGGCATTGTGGTGTACGGATTTGCGGCATTACCGGGCATTTTTAGGCATTTTTTGGGTATTAGTTTGGGCATTAGGCCTTGCATTATAAAGATAAAATAAGATAAAATAAAATAAAATGAGATAAAATAAGATAAAATAAGATAACAAGATAAAATAATGTCTACTGGGCATTAGTGGGCATTGGTGTACAAGATTTTGGTCCGTGCTTTCCACCTCGGTTAGATATAGATCGTAAAAACGTTGATCATTTCTCAGTTTACAAGGACAATTGCGTGAAATACAACGAGTAAATTTATATAAATGAAATATGTCCATACATATTTTTACGTTGTATATTTCAATACAATTCTATGCAATTCTACTCGGTTCTATATAATTTTGTAGATTTATATATGCTTTTATATGAAAAATTTTGTAAAAATTGCTCATTTATTATAATTGTACATAATTTTGTACAACTGTGCACATTTATATGTAATTATAACTAAACAATTTTTCACATTTTGAAAATCACATTTGTAAAATCATACAGAACTGTAGAATGGTATAAAATTATATAGACATAACAATGTAAAAATATGGATGGACACACTTGATGTAGAGTTTATTCATATTCATGCGTGAATAATTTTTTACCGAGGAATCAGACACCAAATTGGTGGGGCGAAGAAGGCCAATGCGAGCCAAACGCAGGTGTTTCTGCGAAAATGTCCAATATGGAACTTTTTATTGAATTTATAAATTAATCATCAAACGTTTCGACCCATTTTCGGGTCATCCTCGGTGAGACTAGGAACAAAGAATTATAAAAGAATGTCGTATTTAAGCGCCGAACATATTTGTGTCTACATAGGATATTATTCATAATATCCCTGATGCTAATTAATCTAAGTTTTAAGTTTTTATACTTTTTACATTTGTTAATTTTATACAACAACTTTTATAAACCTTTGTTCTTAGTCTCACTGAGGATGTCCCGAAAATGGGTCGAAGCGTTTGACGATTAATTTATAAATTCAATAAAAAGTTCCATGGTGGACACTTTCGCACGAATACCTGCATTTGGCTCGCATTGGCCTTCTTCCTCCCACCAGTTTGTTTATCGGGAGCCGTCTCTACTCTTCAGGCACCAAAAGTTGCGCGCTTTTTCGGTCGCGCCGCGACACAAGACCGAAACGGTAAAACGGCAGACGAGTCGCGACGTATTATACCAATTGCCGGCAGCGCGTAACATTGCGGGGCCCCGATCCCCGCGATGAAACTTATCCGCGGGATGGAAAGCGACAAGGCAACGTGCGAGAGGGGAAAGAAAATGAAATAGCGCGGCACGGGTCGCGTTATCGACGCTTCGCCGACTCCTTAAATCAGCGGGCGTAGGCAGGCAGAGGCCGAGGGGTGAAGCGCTGTAAGTGGGAACGGACGAGGGAATACTCCTCTCCTTTGCCCACCTCTCGGCTCCTTCCCTTTTTTCTTCCACCGCTCGGTGACGAAGAGGGGACACGCGCATGCAGATCACGTCGGTTGTAGCCAAGTGATAGCGTATCTGTGGGCGGCGCGTGCGTGTGGTCCTTCTAGGGTCCCCTCGGCTCCCCCTCCTTACTCGGTTCCTTCCTCGCTTCCACCATACTCGGGGAGATATCCTTTTCTCCATTCCGAATCATCGCGAGCGCTGCATCCACTTTACGATCACCCCCGCAGCTAATTTTGCCCGTCAGCTTGTCGATATAATAAATAGCCGGCCGGCGAGAGCCCAGCGATCGCTTCCACACTCATTACGATACGATCGTTTTAATTAGAAATGTGTGTCGTCCGCGCTGACAGTTCCTATCTGTGAGGTAATCATAAACTCGCCCACGCAGCCACTCCATATCGTATCGTATGACCGTTAAATTCTGTAATCCTCCGCGGCGCGATTATTTTTCTTGGCTGGCGAGAGGGATCGTGTGATGACGTATCATCCATAAGCAAATTATCATGCGGACGCTTTTCAAATAATTGCTATTAATCGTCGATGGGTGCGTAGTAATTGGCCTGGAACGTACGAGTGATTCTCGATAATGTAAGACTTCGTAGAATCACGGAGAGACTTGAGGACGTACGTAAAACGGTTTACGGTCCAGTTACACGTATATTCGTGCCGCGTCAGTGATTTTGTGATGTATCAGTTTGGATTCAGTGATTTTCAAGATGGCTCAAAATTACGGATGACGAATCGGCAGAAATTGTTGCAACTTCAGACGAAGATGAAGCAATCCGTGCAGCACGAATGCTTGTAGCTACCAGGGTTGGCAGGTAACTCGTTACTTGCAACGAAGTTACAGTTACTTTCTTTCCATCTGTAACTGCGACCTAACTCAGTTATATTTTTTCGATAACTAGTAACTAATTTAATAGTTACTTTATATATTTTTTAAACCCTCATCGGCGCTTTACAATTCAAATTTGATATTTCCGTTTTCATTGCAAGAAAGTAAGTGCCAGGTAACGATTCGTTACTTTTTAAATAACTGTAACTGCAACGCGTTAGTTTTCAGAATTGGTGGCTTGTAACTAGTTACATTTTTAGCGAAAGAACTGTAACTAGATACTTTCATAGAGTAACTTTCTCAACCCTGGGCTGCTTTCGCGAGAAGGTCAAAATGATCCGGATTAAAATGGCCCTATGATTGGTCAAATCTGAAATTTCGTAGCATCACATTGAAATTTTATTCAATGAAATTCCAGATTTGACCAATCATAGCACAGGGTCATTTTAATCCGGATCATTTTGATCTTCTCGCGAAAGCAGCTCTGGTAGCTGCATTGCAGTAATGTCGCTGCAACATAGCTGTATGGGAAATAAGATTGAACACGGCCCGAACACGGGACTGTGCCGGAACGTGCGTGAACGCGTCCGTTAAAAAGGCAAGAAAGCAATATTTGTTATCACTGATACCGATGGAAATTCACGGAACTGAACGGAACATGTGTAAATGAACCTTTGCTCGACCTGGCACGAGCATCGCGAGATCCTCTTATCTCCGGCACGTCTGGAGCCCGATAAAATATCGCGCGTCCAAGGCTTCCCTCATTTTCGCGCAAGTTGGACTCATTCCCGGCGATATCGGCTCCGTTTATCTCTATCGTCGTTTCCGACGCGTCGAACGTGCGCCTTTATACGCGCCCAAGTTAAAAGGGTGCGTGGACGGATACTATCAAGGCGCGACGCAGGAGTCTCCGGGTTTCTACCAGTGCGGGGCTAAGCGACACTTGGGACGGACGTGACACAAAGACAGCCATCGAGAAGTCATTCCGGTCGCTTCCAACGTCCAGAACTCGCCGTCCCCGGCGGCGACGGCGGCGGCGGCGTCTCCCGCGTTTCTCTCCTCCTCGCTTCGTGACTCCCATATGCGTATCCCGACGCCGTAAACACGATTTTGCCAACACCGGGGTTTTGCGGTAAAACGACGGGCCGTAATTCGCGGTAAAACGTCCGCCGGTAAGAATTTATGAAAGCTCGCCCGGGAGTCCGGGTTTACGTGCGCATATACGCGGGCGAAAACGCTCCGCTCGGCGACGATGACGGCGAGGGGCAGTCGACCGGTCGCGCAGGATTCACCTTATCGACAAGCGAGGAGGCCCCGTCTTTTGGATACCGTCCGGGATCCGAAATAGCGTCGTTGGGGCCCACCTCTCGTCCACCCTTCCCGGCACCTTGGAGAAAAGAAACGTAACTCTAGACGTATCGCGGTGTCATGTCCCGCGCACCTGGCGGCCCCGTTCTTTGTAACACAATACACGCGTTTCGTCCTGCTCCTCCCGCTCCTCCTCCTCCTCCTCCGCCGCCACCTCCTCCCGCTTTAACTTCTCCTCCGCTTACCGTGCTCTTTTGTCTCTTCTTCTCTCCGGCCCGTCATCAGCTTATACCTAGCCTGGATATGTGGAACGGATAAAAAAGGAGGAGGCAAAAATCCTGGTTTAATACCGTGGGGGGATCGGAATTTTCGGCCGGGCTGACGTACTCGCTCGACGAACCTGTTTAAGTGAACACTCCATAACGCCTGATATATCTAGGAGTCGCACACGTGAAGATTTAGCCAGTTAAAATATTTCGCGGCTGCGAGCGGAGAGAGAGAGAGAGAGAGCGAGAGGTCCGTTTTGCGTTGTAATAAATTAAACGCGTGTCGCTACTTCTGAGAAACCCAGCGATTTTCAAGGAGGCAAACAAACCCGGTGCTGTTAATAGACAAAAATCTGGTGTTTCTCGTCTAAATTAATTCTTCGTATATTTCTTGCATTGATATTTTTATCACGAAAGTCTTGAATGGGCATTGTATAGAGGCCGAACGTTTCCAATTAGGCCCGGCTCGACGTGTCTATTTCCTTTTTGGCCGCGCGAGAGGCGAGGGGGATTGAGTGAGGGACGCAGAAGACCGTGAGTTAAAAAATAATAATAAATGTTTATTTTACACACGTGAACGACAGAACACAACGGACACCGTGCAGTAGGTACACCGTTTAAAAAAAACTGGAGACTATAATCTTATTCAAGAGAGTGTGCCTACTGCGTATCGCATACATAGAATTACAGATCTAGACATGCACGAATTCGTATATCCTCATCGTGATGTACATAACAATGATTACGCTCTAAACGTTAACGGCGATAGATAGTGCAGGCAGATAGATACGATGTGAGTCGGGGGGGCTCGCGCGAGAGATCGAGGTCCTGGGCCGTGCCGGTGGGGCCGCGGGTTCGTGGCTCGTGCGCGTCGCGATCGAATCGACCGTCGGAATCGATCGCGCGCGCCGAAGTCGAGATCGCCGCGGCGGTGGTTACAATAAATGGACGCCGACCCGCATTGTTGGAAGAAAGCGCGTCCGGATACTCCGGAAGGTAGGGATCCGCGCGTTAAGACGTCTCCTGAAGTACTATGGTGCTTGAGCCGGAAACGGGTATCCCCGGTGGCGGTGGCGACGACGGCACTCCCAGGTTGTGGGTGAGCGAGTGCCTCCTCAGATCACAATTCCTGCGGAAGACCTTGCCGCAGGAGGCGCAATGATAGGGCTTGATATCCGTGTGCGTGAGAAGGTGAGTCTTCAGATTGCTCCTCTGATTAAAGCTCCTGGCGCAGACGGGGCACTTGTGCGGCGACTCCTCCATGTGCAGGATTTTGTGGACAGCCAGCGTCCGGCTCTGGCAAAATCCTTTGCCGCACTCGGCGCATTTGAACGGTTTCTCCTTGCTGTGTATGTACCTGCAATGTGAGAAAAATCTTCCGGTTTGAATCTCACGTTGAATTTTCCCGACGAAACCACACGCGTGTAACTACGTTTTACTGGTTTTTTGGTTCTTTTTTTTTTACGTAAAAGTGCTTGAACTATAATTTGTAAAATTATAGACGCGCAACGAGATACACATACGCGTATGTTTAACGCTGTAAAGAAAACCGAAAGGAGGGAAGAATAAAATAATCAGCGGGTAATATATTATTAATTTAATTAGCATTATTATCAAGCGAGGACCGCAATTATTGCAACGGTAAATGTATGAATGAATGAATGGATCGTGACACGTTGACCATTAAATATAATATACACGTCATTCAATCATCGCTGTAATTGCGCGAGGTGAAAAAGGCGTATCGTGAATTTGTACGTTCGTAAATCGCAGGACGCTTGTAATTAATGGCGACGCGATAAAGAGATAAATACGCGGCGGTCTCTAAATCTCCCATCGCCAAGGGAACGAATTCGGTAAATAATTCCAACAGTCGTCAATGTCTTTACGCGCATTTAACTCAATTCTCTTACGTAACGTATCATTACAGCGCTTATCTCTCTCTCTCCCTCCCTCCCTCCCTCTCTCTCTCTCTCTGCCTCGCGTGTACCCGGATGTTATAAATAAATTCTAACTAACGTGATTATCTTGAATGATGCGCGATCGAGAATATGGCAACGGCGTGAAACTCCTTCGATAATTCGGAGCGTAAATCACGTTCGTTCAGAAACGCGCGTTAACGCGCGTCCACCGCTTGATAAACGCAACACGAATATATGTGCGGGTAACGAGACATTAGCGACATAAAAAAAATTGTAAACTAAAATGTAACTTGGAGCGGAAAGAAATGTCGACGATTCCGTATTTTCAAATTGAATTAATTGGACTAATTGATAAGTAAATCTCGATTCAATCGATGAACAGCAAGAACCTTGGGGCGCGCGATGCTTCCCCAAAGGAAGCGGGAGAAGCAACGTCTCCCAGATGACTAGGGCCTAGTTGCGTTACCTGTGATCTCTGAGATGGTCCTGCCGTCGGAAGGCTTTGCCGCATATGTCGCACGAGTACGGCCGCTCGTCGGTGTGCGTCCTCTCGTGGATGAGGAGGTTGTAGCTCTTGGTGAACTGCCGGCTGCAGAATTTACAAATGAACTGTTTCTTGGGTCGGGACGTGCGGCAAGTCCTTGGTACACTCGAGTCCAGCGCGATCGAGGCGTGCTGCACGGACGAGGAGGAGGACGACGAGGTGGACGAGGCCGAGGAGCAGCCCGAGGAGGAGGTCGACGACGCGAGGGACGTCGGGACGGTCAGGGACGACGACCGCGAGACCGTCGTCACCGACGTGCTCGCGCGATTCCCCTCGGTTATCCGCCGCAGGAGCAGCTCGTGGTTCGCGGAGGAGGCGCCCGCCCCGGACGCCTCGCCCAGCAGGACCTCCTCCTCCTCCGCGAGGAGCGCCAGGTCGTCGTCGGTGTCGGTGACGAAGTCCAGCCGCGCCTCGTCGTCCTCGCTTATCGCCGAGGCGGCCGATCGGAGCAGCTGGTCGGCCGTCAGGTGGTCGTTCTTGACGGCTGTCGGGCTCAGGGCGACGTCGACACTCGTGTTCAACGGCGAACACCGCTGACCGCCGGCGACGGACGCGGCGGTGCCCGCGGTCTGCGCGACCCCGGATGCCGCGCCGCTCGCATGAAGACGGTGGAGCGTCAGGTAAGTCTCCAGCGCCTGGAGATTAAACGCCGCCGCGGCGGCGTGTCCCGGCGGCAGGAGCGCGGCCCGCTGCAGGGCGGAGAGGAGGGCGCCCTGAAGCCGCAGGGCGACACTCTGGAGCGCCAGGGTGGGTAATTCGGAGGCCGCGGCGAGTCCGGCGATATCGATGTCGCGCGAGTCCGCCGCGACCGTGACCGACGAGGTCGAGGACGATGTGGACGGCACCATTACGAGCGTCCGTTGCTCCTGCTCCGGTTCCTGATGCTGTTCTTCCTCCTCCTGCTGCTGCTGCTGCTGCTGTTGCTGTTGCTGCATCCTCCGCCGTCGTTGGAATCGTCCCGGGTTAGCCTCTGGAACGTGCACCTGCCACGTTTCGCCGGTATCATTGGCAAGGCGATCGGAGGTTCCTGATTTGTCCCGACTGATCTTGATGAGTATCGTTAACGTGGACGCCGCGCGCGCGCCGGTGCTCCTCCGGAGTATCCCGGTACTCTTCCGTGCGATTCACCCTTGCCGAGCTAGGCCACGCGTTCACATGTCCCCGCCGAACGATCGTCAGCTCCCGAGACGACCCTTCCTGCGGGGCACCGGGGCTCGAGCGCGGAAACGGGAAAGAGGATACGCACGCACGATGCTGGCGGTGCGAGGGCACCCCGAAGACTGCTTCTACCTGCCGCTGCTGGGTACTGCTGGTGGAGCCACCTGGTGGCAGGTATCCGAGGCAAAATGGGCCTGTCCGCGGGGAACGGGCCCCGGATTCAGGAGAGAGAGCCGTGGCACAGCTGGCCCGCGCGATCACCGCGGCCCGCCGTGCCGCGCCGCGCCGCGCCGCGCCGCGCCGCTTCGTCGGCGATGCGGGCGCGGGCCTGGGCCGCATGTCCGTGGGGCCGCCGCGGCTTTTGCGTGCCGCGACGGCGGACCTGAACGCCGGGGACGCACGCGCGCGCGTGCACGAGGGGGGAATCCGGAAACGTGAATCGCGATCGCGATCGCGTTTGCGGGTCAACAGCTGTTTAACCCGCGTGCGTTTCCCTCGCGCGTCCCTTTCGCGCGCGCGGGGCGAATACGCGCCGATTATTTTCATTTGCCTCACTGGAGACGAGCACGGGCGTTTAAATGACGTGCAACGTGTATTTAAAGATGACTCGCGTAACGAAGCTCATTGATAGACGCGGTCAATTTCGGTGCCGAGCCTACGGCTTGTGTCTTACGTGCTTTTGAGGCGTCAGCCGGTTGGAAAATTACAATGTCTTTGCATCTACTTTCTGCGAAAGCACTGCACCTTAAATATATGCCGGATAATAATTGAAAAAGAATCCGAAGCATCAGCCGCGAGTGAAGTTTTAGCGAGTCTCTTGTCTAAACGGAAACGATCGCGTTTCAAACACAATGTGACGAGCGTAATGAGACGACGCGTGAAGCAATTAAGCTGACGACTTTCGAGGATGATGTATGTACTTTTGTGAAAGATGGACTTTATTAATCGAGAAACCGTCATCAATTTAATATCTAGAAATCAACTTTAATAGCGCACTTTTTACATAGAAAAATAATGTTTATGGGTTACAAAATGTACAATTGTCAAAGGTTTGTAAAAGAAATCCGGTGGATCGGTCCTTTCAGAAAGACTTTGAACCGAATACGAGCGAGCGGTCTGGTGCGCGCGGCTGACTTGGGGTTTATAATGTCCCGAGTGGACGTCGCGTGGAAATGAGGTAAAACTGAGTGAATAGTGATGCCGCGGCGGAAAAAAAAAAGGCATTTCTCCCGCGGTACCGCGCCCGTGTGCCGCGGGTTCGTTCGGACTCGGCTCCGGCCCGGACTCTCGGCAAAGCCGCAACAATTTACGACGGCAATTAATGCGCGCGAGTAAGCCGTGTATAGCGCCTATAGTTAGCTGCCTCTTCAGTGTCGGAGCGCACCGAAAGCGAGGGAGAAAGAGAGACATTCCGTACACGCGCTCTCGTGCGCGCACATGAGACAGGAAAAAAAAAGGGCGAGTAACCGGGCAAGAGGAGGAGTGAAAGAGAGGAAGGATGAGAAGGAGGGGGAGGGAGAGTACGATGGAGTACGATATAGAAGGAGAGGTCTCTCGAGGAAAGGCGCGAGAGAGAAAGAGAGAGAGAGAGAGAGAGAGAGAGAGAGAGAGAGAGAGAGAGAGAGAGAGAGAGA